AGTGCATTAATGCAATGTGCAAGCACAATTACAAGGTTAAGCTCATACACCTAACACTCTTTGGATTTTCTGAATTTGAATAATCTGTTACTTTGTGTAACAAGTTTGTGTGATACTGTCTTATGATGCAAAGGTTTGTTTATCTGATGATACCTGGCCAGATGGATTTAGTGTCAAAAAATGGAATATGGTTGGATACCATATTTATGGCATGGGGAGGATGAAATTTCTATGGGGTGATGATGCAGAAGGCCAGAGAGATGACTCGACGAAAATGGCCATTTCCAACAAGAAAGCCCTTTTAAATTCACAGCCTTCCAGGTAAGAAAAAAATATAAACTGACATCACTAACACATGCCAAATTTGTGGCCTGTTATCATTATAGGAATTCTGAAGAGATTTTTTTATCTACGCAGGTGGGTCCAAGAATTTGTTGTCTAGGCAAGGAATTTGCTTATAGGAAGATGAAGATCTTCTGTGCTGTGCTTTTAGGCAGCCACAAATTTAAGCTGAGTGATGAGAACACAGTGGCCTATTACTGGACCAAGCTCACCCTCCATATTGATGGGGGCCTTCATGTGCTAGCCTCTCCAAGATTCGGGCATGCATGACCGCTACCTTAGATATTTTGTCTTAAACATGGCCCCTTGTACTGGTCTATATAATTGTACTGAGTGTATTCTTATTGTATTGGTTGTTATCGTTGTGAAAGAAGCCTAGCCCTTTACGTATATCCATATATAGCTTAGATAAATACACACACACACCAAAAAAAAAACAGAGAAAACAGAGTAAACAGAGAACGCATACACACCCACCGAAAAAAAAACAAGGTTTTCTCTTCTATATATACATGTAAGAAGTGTTTCTCTTCTTCATCATCCCCATGAGTTTTATGGATTTCCTTTCCACTCCGTTACCTCCCATGGCAATAAGTTTAGCAGTAATTTTAGCTATACTTATAATCTCCGTTACCTCCCATAGCAATAAGGTTTTCCAATGCTTTTGATGTAGTAAATGAGATGACCTTGCATCGTTGCGTTGATTTATCCTGGAAGATTAAAAAGTTGTTAAACATTGGATCAGGAGCCACGCTAAGGAAGAATTTAAAAGTGGTAGATGAGTTTGTTTATAAGAGCATCCACAGTGGGGGGTGTATGTTAAATATACACCCATTGTCACCGGAATCGTCTTTAATGGGGAAATGTAAAGGGATGTAAAATAAAATGTATATTTACATCTATTTTTACATCCCTTGCAGGCGGGACTCACCCAAGAAAAGAGAAGAAAAATGAAGAAAAGTCAGCATAAAAGGCTGGGACCCATGGTTACAGTAATTGCTGGAAAAAAAATTCAAATGTTGTTTGCTCATTTGTGGTTTTCATGTTTTTGGATGAAATCATATCTTTTCCGAATTTAAATATTTTTAGGTCTATTTGTTTGAAAAAATAAAATAAACCTAATACAAAAAAAATTAATTTTTATAAAGTAAACACAAAATACAAATTTAATACAAAAACGAATTAAAACAAACAAAACAATTATACAGCTTAGATTTACATCTTTTTCCATTGGAGCAAAAAACGTATTTACACATCCCGGAGGTGTAAAGGGGATGTAAAAGTGGCTTTACACCCCCAAATTTACATCCCTCATTGGTGATGCTCTTAACTTAATCAAAAGCAAGACTGAAACAGTTCTAAATTCAGGAGATGATATTTTTTGGGGGGTGGGGGGAAGGATTTGTTTATGAAAAAAGCCTTAGATTCAATCATCAAGGTTCTCCTTGGTATTGAACTAGACACCATGTATGGGACATCAATATGTTAGCGAGATCCTAGTTTAATTAGGAGATTTATTTCATAGTTTATTATGATTATATTTCTTTCATTTTGTACAAATATTATGTAATTATGATTTTATCTTGTTTCCTAATTTGACTCTATTAGGCAGTAGTTGTCCAAAAGGATGCCTTTCATTATGAATTTATGGTTAAAAAGTGGTCAGCTTTAAAAATCTATCCAAATAGTCGGTTTGAAATTTTGAAATGTAAAAAATTAGTTGGTCAGCTGAGCTTGTTTGTTGTCGGTCACTTCGGCTTGCTTGCTAAATAATTTTTATTTTTATTTTTAATAACGATCAAGTTATGTTAATAACCAGATCTTATTGAAAAATAAATAAATAAATTAGTAGGGATGATTCTAACATGGACAGTTTCCGATTTGGAAAAAAGCAATTCCACTAAATATAAGGGTTAGTTGGAATAACTATCTCATTTCCACCGTTGATTAGAAGAGCGAGCCGGTCCACATGTATCATGTCACTGTTGGGTGGCCTTAGGCCCGAGAAACACTTTCATGCAACTGCATATGGACTAATTTTTTCATGTGTCATTGTGTTACTATCCCCGTTATAAGAAAGTTTGTTTGCTTAAGTCCAACTGCGACTGCAATACTGCTAAAGTGGCAAAGTCGTGCCTGACAGCTGAACTGTATGTACGCCTTCTACTACCACATATTTTATTTCGAAGAAAAGAATTGTTTGCTAATTTGTCAAGGCCAAAGATCTGCAAAGGAAAAGGTTTTTTTTTTTTTTCTTTTTTTTTTTTTTTTTTTTTTTTTTTTTTTAAAATTTTATACAAACGATATTCTATTTGAAACTAATCTAAACTACGGAAAAAGAGGAATTCGAACTTGGGTGTAGAGTAGAGAGTATATCTGCTCTAGCCAACTTAACGGTGTCATGCTTGCTAGAGAAATTCTTGTTTAATAAAAAAAATTAATGTTGATATGATCACTAACAAAACATGCCACATTTAATTAAAACATCCGACAATGGGGTTGAGCGGACTGAAGTTAAAAATGGAAAACAATGGAATAATAATGAAAGGCGTACTCACGGGGCGAAGACAAATATAAGAAAAACAAATGTATTTGTTGCACAATTTGGAGGGGGGATAAACAGGGATCAGCTGATCCTTGTGGGCCTCACCGTACTATTATACAATGCATCGACCCCAAGGTGGTTAGCTTTCAAAAACTATCTAGATATTGGTTAGCTTTTATTAAATCACACATATATATACAAGCAGCCAGTACGTATGTGGTTGATGGATGGGCAAAATTCAGCTGTTAACCACCAACTGTTTCCTTTAGCGGGTTTGTTGCTGAATCAATATGTCATCAATGGGATTATCCACGAATGCTAGTCGCCCCTCACATGAAAGCTTTTCAACACTGCCCGCATACACATTGGCGGATCCATAAATTTTTAAAAGGAGGTGCAATATTTCAAAGGCTAACTGTTTCCACACAACAAAAGAATTTACTTTGAAAATTGTCAGTTGTTTAGATAAAAATAACTTGTATAATTGAATTGATACCATTCATAATTCATGAAAGAAATAACATTTTCTTATTAATAAAAAAAAATTCACTGATGAATTTTTTTGCAAATTCATCAGTTGCAATTTGGGGTGTACGTTAGTTCAAAACCAATATAATTTAGTCCATTCACGTTCGATTCAATTTAAATTTGATAATGGAAAAATAAAATAATAAAATAATAAACATTTATCCTTGGTTTAATATAATTAAACATATTAATAGATGTAAATGTAAGATATAAATAAAATACTATAATAATAAAAATTATTTTGAGTATATAATATATTAAACATAACTTCACAACATAACTAATTGAAATTGGATTGGACTGGATGTTCCTATAGGTGTGCCTGGACAGCTGAACTCCAAGAATAAATATTGAAGAAATTAATTGCTGCAAATTTATCAAGAATACATATCTGCAAAGAAAAAAGAAACTATTTTTTTGCTCTCTGTGCTTGCTGCAAGGAAATTGGATGATGTTAAAGTCAAATGATAAATCATGGATTTTGAAAAATTAAGGTGACATTTCTCCTAAATATTTCTTTAATGTGACAAATTGAAACTGATGTATAAATTTATGGCGTGTCTACAAAAATCCCTTCTCATAATCGGTCATCTGATCCAATCATGTCAGCGTATCCAATCAAATCTGCCAAATCGTCAAAACTGATTGAAATTGAATTGGACTGTCAGCCGATTTAAACGGATTGAATTGGATCTTATACACCCTTAGTTGCAATACCGCCAAAGCAGCAAAGAAGCAATCTCTGCAGAGAGCCCCATGCTGTCGATACAGCTGACGGCTGGAGTAGCCGACCGATTCTCAGTCACTGAAGCTGAGCTGCTGCAGAGTAAAATGCTGAGAGGGAAGCTGTTCACGCTACAAATAAACAGCTTCGATGGGCATGGCCCAGTTCGTATGGTCGTGCCTGGACAGCTAAACTGCAAAAATAAATATCGAAGAAATTAATTGTTGCTAATTTATCAAGAACCATATCTGCAAAGAAAAAACGAAACTATTATTTTGCTTTCTGTGCTTGCTGCTTTTAATGTTGGTTAAGATTTTAAACATGGGTTTCCTTCAAAAAGTTGTAGATGCAAATCGCAAATGCAAGTCTTAGGAAAACAAGCTTACATATTTACACTGGCTCTGGCTCGAAGAATGCAAGAACCAGCCACTATATCTCCTATTCTTCTCTGCCACTTCTCGTTTTGGGTTCTTACAGCTACGCTACCGACATATTTCGAATCATAAAGATTATGAACCACTATGTCGGTAACTGTAAGGTCGTGTCAGAGCAGAAATTGACGATCGTCATAAAGAAAAACGTTTCTATTTGGAATTCCCATTGTAACAGGGTTTGTCCAAGTGGTTGAGCCAAAGTCCTTTCATTATGAATATCTGATTGTGGTCGGCTTTAAAACTCTATCCAAATATCAGTTGGAGATGTTGAAGTCTAAAATTTGTTGTCGGTCACATCAGACATGAATTTTGTACGTAATGATACTACAAGTGTTTCTTTTCCTCATCATCCCCAGGGCCATGCATTCTGCCTCGTGAGTGTGTATATATGATGATATAAGGTTTCTCTTTTTCATCAGTCCCAGCCATGAGTTCTGTCATGGATTTCCTTTCCACTCCCATAGCAATAAGTTTGACAGTAATTTTAGCTCTACTTGTGATCAGATCCCATACTAGAAGATTGGGTACTGAGAACAAAAAGAGATACCATCCTGTAGGCGCAACCGTCTTAAGCTGCTTGATCAACTTCTCTAGGCTACACGATTACATGACTGAGTTAGCATTCAAAAACAAAACTTATCGGGTGCTTAACTTGTTCCAAAATTATGTTTTCACCACAGATCCTGCAAATGTGGAATACTTCCTCAAAACCAACTTTGCAAACTATGGCAGGGTATGTGTCTATGTCTATATCAGACTTTGGGGAGAAGTTCATGCTATTAGAAAATTTCTAATTATTATTATTATTATTATTATCTTTTTATGCTTTTGTCATGCATTTGAAGAGAGGGGGGGAGACTTTAATTAGAACTGTTCAGTAACTACTAGCCCAGGACATGCATATTTCCTAACCTATCCTCTTTATCTAAGATATATTTTATATACGTTCTATAAAAAAAGATATATTTTATATACTAAAACTAGTGAAATATATTGTTACTTTTCTATAGAAGCAAATCAACATGCCAATGATTTCAAATCCTGACCTGCTGCAGGGGTTGTACCTCTACACCATTATGTCAGATGGTCTGGGTGATGGGATCTTCGCCGTGGATGGCGAAAAATGGGTACATCAAAGGAAGGTAGCAAGCAATGAATTATTAACCAAATCAGTGAGAGACTTCAGCGGTGCAGTTTTCAAAACCAGTGGTGTGAAACTTGCTCGGATAATTTCTGAATCTGCAACCTCCGGCCAAGCGATAGAGATCCAAGTAAGCTTGCCTCAATTCTTCAATAATAACATATATAGCATTGTTATTTGATCTCTTTTGCAGATATTTTAATCTTGATGTTTTGTTTGTTTTTGGGAAGGATTTGTTTATGAAAGCAGCCTTAGATTCAATCGTCAAGGTTCTCCTTGGTATCGAAGTAGACACCATGTATGGGACAAATAAAGAAGCTATCCGGTTTTCCAATGCTTTTGATGTAGGAAATGAGATGACCTTGTATCGTTGCGTTGATTTCTCCTGGAAGATTAAAAAGTTGTTAAACATTGGATCAGAAGCCATGCTAAGGAAGAGTATAAAAGTGGTAGATGAGTTTGTTTATAACTTAATCAAAAGCAAGACTGAAACAGTGGCAAATTCAGGAGATGATCTACATGTGAGTTATCTTTGGCTTCCAGTCCATATCTGTTTTGTTCTAGATTAATTGAATGACTAATTATTATTATTATTAATGCAACTGAATGAGTGGCACTGGCAGGTGAAGAGAAGAGACATTCTTTCGAGGCTTTTGGAATCAGGACAGACTGATCCAAAGTACCTCAGAGACATTATCTTCAGTCTGTTTGTTGCCGGAAAAGACACAGCGGCTAGCACTCTTACATGGTTTATTTATATGGTCTGCAAGCATCCTGATATACAAGAAAAGATTGCACAGGAAGTTAGAGAGGCAACAAATCTGAAAGATAATTCAAGCATTGATGAGCTTGCAGACAACCTTACTGAAGAAACCCTTAGCAAAATGCAATATCTGGTTGCAGCTTTGACTGAGACAAGCAGGCTCTACCCTGCAGTTCCATTGGTAATTTTAAGCATCTGAATGCAATTTTAATTGCAAGAGCTGGCTTAATTTTTTGAATTTGGATCCTTTATTTATTATTACTTATTAATGAACAAATTAAGTTTGTGTGATGTGATGGTGTCATAGAATGCGAAGGTTTGTTCATCTGATGATACTTGGCCAGATGGATTTAGTGTCAAAAAAGGGGATATTGTGGGATACCATGCTTATAGCATGGGCAGGATGAAATATATATGGGGTGATGATGCAGAAGAATTTCGGCCAGAGAGATGGCTCGACGAAAATGGCCTTGTCCAGCAAGAAAGCTCTTTCAAACTCATCGCCTTCAGTGTAAGGAAAAAATGTTACTGACACATACTACACAATTTTTATTTTTATTTTTTTGATTTGATGGAGCAAACAGAACACCGAAATCATTGTAATTCTGAAGAAATTTGATTTATGGTTTACACAGGCGGGTCCAAGGATTTGTGTGGGGAAGGAGTTTGCTTATAGGCAGATGATGATCTTCTCTGCTGTGCTTCTAGGCAGCTACATATTGAAGCTTAGGGATGAGAACGAAGTGGCCAACTACAGGACCAAGTTTACCCACCATATTGATGGGGGCATTTATGTGCAAGCCTCTCCAAGATTTGCAAATGCAAGCCCTTAAGTAACTTCCACTATTGCTCTTAATGATCGCACTAAAAGAAGCAGCGTTCTATTGTAATCCTTATTGTTTTCCATTGGACCATTGCTTCACAACCTTATCACTATAGTATACTATGAATAATTGGTATTCAGTAAAAATAATTATCTTCTCTTATGTTGTCAATCAATGATATATTTATTTATTCTCTTCCATCCAAGTGATTTTATACACTTCATTCTCACTCACAAGGAGTTCATTTCCTAAGATGATGAGAATGGCCCTCTTTAATATTATTGTTGGATATAAACAAGCTGAAATAAGTAGCTAGAAATGTGGCCTATTCTTATATTAAGCTCTAAATTGATACAAGGATGTAATTGGTATTTATGTCCGGATATTTAAAGATTGATTCATCATTGAAACAAACATTTTTATACCAAATTTAGAATACACTAGATGCCAAAAGAGTTGCCAAACTAAGGACCAGCACTGCACGACGTGTAGACCAGTAGCATGCGGTGGTAAATCATACATCAGAAAACGCTCCTATTTCAATTTTCAGCTACTATATATATGTGTTGAAATTAATGCATATTTATAGAAAAATCTAGAAGCTTGAAGAAAGTGCTATAAGCTTGAAGGGAATAAAAGATTGGAGAATGTTCCAGAAAAACCAAGAAAGCATGCAACAAGGAATTGTGGAGAAGTTCACCAACCATGTCGGTTGAACATGTGGCTGGAAATAAAAAGCCAAGTCAGTGGACTTGGTGATGTCGGCTACTCTCATCTATAAAAAGACTTGTTGTTAGTGAGATCCTAGCTTAATTAAGATATTTATTTCCTAATTTATTAGAATTATATTTCTTTCCTTTTTATACAGATATTGTGTAATTAGGTTTTTATCTTGTTTCCTAGTTTGACCCTACTAGGATGACATCCTTGTACTATAAATACTTTCTTTTGGAGAATGAAATATAATCTAAAAAATATTCTACCCATATTGTTTGACTTGGCATCAGAGCCAACTTTTCTGGTGACCTGTGTATTATGCCCACCCGTGTTCTATCCCCATATTTTTTCTCTACCTGTGCCGTGTGTGCCCTCTTGGGTTTGTGTGTTGTGTTGTAGTGTTGCCTCTACTGTGTTCGTGTCATTCCTGTGTTCGTACATCTGCCATATTTGTGCTTTTGCTGTGTTCCGTTGTGTACTCTGTTGTGTTCGTACATGTCTTCTTGCATCTGCTGTATTTGTGCCTCTGCTGTGTTCCGTTGTATACTCTGCCGTGATATGTTGAGTTTCTGCTGCAATCATGGGTGATAACTCTATTGTTGGTGCTATTGCTGCTACCTCTACAAATTTGTGTGTTTCTGATTTTATTCCAGGTACTGGCTCTAATACTTGGATAATTGACACTTGTGCTTCTGATCATATGACTTATGATGCTAAATTTTTTGATGAGTTGTCTAGTAACACCCGTGACCCATACATAACTAGTACTAATAACTTGGCCTCTCCAATTACTGGTGAGGGCATAATCTCTCTCACTCATACTTTGTCCTTGTCTCGTGCGTTACTAGTTCCCAATATCCATTGTAATTTGTTATCTGTTGGTCGATTACTTGATACCCTTAATGCTTCTGCTACTTTCTATCCTACACATTGCTCTTTTTAGGATCTCAAAACTCACGAGACGATTGGGCATAGTAAACGGATAGGGGGTTATATTATTTGACATTGCCTTTTGCACCAGTTCGTGATCGTGTCGTTAATACTGTTCAAAATTGCAGTGTCAAAGACAAACAACAAATTTGGTTATGGCATCGTCGCTTGGGACACCCGTCATTTGGCTATCTTAAGCGTCTGTTTCCATCTTTATTCCGCTCTTGTGATGAGTCCAGTTTTAAGTGTGAGACATGTATTTTGGCTAAGAATTATCGCAATGTGTTTCCTTTGAGTGATAGTAAAGCTGCAAAACCTTTTGATTTAGTGCATTCTGATGTGTGGGGTCCGGCTCGCATTACTTCGAACGGGTTTCGTTGGTTCGTCACATTTATTGATGATTGTACCCGACTCACTTGGGTTTTCTTGTTGAAAAATAAACATGATGTTGCTTCCATCCTTCCAGAGTTCTGTATTATGGTGTATACTCAGTTTCATGCTCAAGTCAAAGTATTCTGAATTGATAACGGAGGTGAATATATGAATAACACTTTGGCATTTTTCTTCCTTGCTCAAGGTATTATTCACCAAACGACAACCCCATTTACTCCTCAACATAATGGTATGTTTGAACGCAAGAATCGTCAGTTACTTGAAGTTGCTCGCTCCCTTATGTTGGATATGTCTGTTCCTCATCATCTTTGGAGGCATGCTGTTTTATCTGTTGCATATTTGATTAATCGTACTCCTAACCGGGTTCTTGATTTCAAGACTCCACATGATGTGTTTGGTGACCATGTTTTCCCTGTCTCAGTCTCCAAGTTGCCCCCTAAAGTTTTTGGGTGTGTTACCTATGTTCATGTATACTCTCATCAAAGGAGTAAACTTGATCATTGTGCTCTGCGATGTGTCTTTATTGGTTACTCTTCTACTTAGAAATGTTATAAGTGCTATCATCCACCTACCCAGAAGGTGCATGTTACTTTAGATGTGACTTTCCATGAAGAAGTGCCCTATTATGTCTTTCTTTCCTCTCCAATTCAGGGGGAGAGAGGGAGTGAATTGGAGAGTCTTGGATTGGAGAATGATGTGTTTGAAGATACTGCTCTCAGGAAGGAAACGACTTGTCGTACTGAACCAAGTGACTGGCTGCCCATATCTGAAGATGGAACTTGTGGTCCTTGTGAAGAAACGAGTGATCACCCTTTGGAACTCGACCAGTTGCCCATATTTGGAGATGAAGCAGGTGCTCTCGATGTCGAAACGACCGGTCACACTGAAGCAAGTGACCAGTCGCCTGTATATGAAAATAATGACAGTGATTCTTGTATGGATGAGTTTGATGCAATACCCCTTTC